TTTGGGACGTTTTCTTACTGCTTCTTAAAGCAACTTTTTAGTAAAAAAAATTAATTTTTGTACTAAAAAGTTGCTTTTAAGAAGCAGTAAAAAAACAGTTCCAAATGAAGTCCTAAACTTAGCTTGGTAATCATTATTCACTTTAAGAAGTATAAGCAATGATCAACTTCCAATTACTATTTCTAATAAGCCCACCACTTTAGGTGTGCAAAAAATGACCCTGTCCGACAAACCAATTCAAATATGACTCGAAGAATTTGGATTTGGATTAAACCAATTAAATTTTGGGTCAGTTTCAGGTTAAAAATATCAAGTCGATTAACTTTTAGGTTGAGTTAAAGTTGACCCAAGAAATCAAAATTGTCTCGATTATCATTTGTTTTTAAGTTAAACGGATCATTTTTTAGTTAAATAGTTCATTTTTATGTTAAATGTGTCATATTTGAGTTAAAAGTGTCATATTTATCTAAAAGTTACAAGATCTACATGATAAACAGGTCAAACGGGTTGAGTTTGCATTAATCGAGTTCCAGGTAAACATTTAAACCCACATGATGTCTAGGTTCAAGTCAAGTATATTCGTGTTGGGTCAAAGTCAAATCCGACCCACTAACCCGACCCACTAATCCAAATTGACACCCCTACAGCATCCCCAACAACAGCTGAAGAAACAAAACAGGTAAAACCTTTCTCACATCAGATCTAAGTTCATAGACTTCGCGTTCAAGTATCTAAACCAACGGATATCCCAACAAATTAAAACAATGTAAGAAATTTCTTATAAAAATATTTCTAATAAATAATCTATCAGCACATCTCTACCATTGATAGGAGAGAGCTTATTTGGTCTGTTGGTCGGTAGCTTTTGCTATCAACTAAGAGCTCTTAAATTTGAGTAATTGAGTCTGATGTACGTGATGTGTGTATGAATTTCACTTAGGCTTCATTTGGTTGTTAAATGTGTCATATTTGGGTTAAAAGTGTCATATTTATCTAAAACTATAAGATTTTTATGATAAACAAGTCAAACGGTTGAGTTTGTGTTAATTGAGTTCTAGTTAATCATTTAAACCTATATGATGGCTAGGTTCAGTTCAAACATATTCGGATTGGGTCAAATTCAAATCCGACCCATTAACCCAAATTAACACCCCTACGCCATCCCCAACAACAGCTGAAGAAACAAACAAGTAAAACCTTTCTCCAGTGTTTTGAAAACCGGATCGGACCGTCGTCGGTTCAACCGGTTGAACCGGTACCCGGCTAGCCGGTCAGTTTGGTTTTCAACTGGAACCGGGCAAGCAAAGGACCGGATTTGAACAGGTCAGACCGCCGGTCGGACCGTGAAACCGGCGAACCGAAAACCGAGTGAGAACCAACCAATTAAGCTTAAACTCAATTTCCAGCCGTTTGATTGAGATCATGCGGTATTTTAGGTATTAGTAAAACATGTAACACTATAATAGTGTAAAACAGGAAAAAGTGTAAACCTAATTTTATTTTCTACTGCTCCCGTAACTCCCGAAGCCCCCCGTCTCCTCCTATTCTCTTCCTTCGTCGCAGCAGCTCCTTCGTCGCTGCAGCTCCTCCTTCGTCCGTGCGTGCATCATTGGCGAACTGGCCGGCTGTGAGGAGATTATCTTCCTTCTTGGCGACGGATTTGCGTTCTTCCTTCATCGATTTAGTGCTTGTAAAATTGACTCTCATCTCTCCTCGCTATTTTTTTTTTTTTTAATTTCCTTTTTTTAATGTTTGCTTTAATTCTCACAAAGTAATTAAGAAAAAAATTTATGTTTGAATTGGTATTTTCAATTTCGTCCACCGAGGATTTAGGGTACGAAAATCTTTTATGTTTTGATTAGGGTTCAGTGGAAGTTTGGGAATTTAAGCCCTCAACTTTTATTAGTCATTAGTGAATGTATTAGAGAAAAAATTTTCTTTCATTTTATAAGTTTTAATAATATTATTATTTATTACATCATCCGGTTCGATCCCGGTTCGACCGGTCCAATCGGTCAAACCGTGAACCTCTCCTTCTTCAAGTCCGTTGTCTGGTCCGATTTTCAAAACCTTGCCTTTCTCACATCAGATCTAAGTTCATAGACTTCTCGTTCAAATAACAAAAGCAGTGGATATCCCAAAAAAAAAAAATTCTGAAATTTCTTATAAAAATATTTATCATCACATCTTTGCCATTGATAGGAGAGCTTATTTTACCAAAAAAACCCAAAAAAAAATATAATTAAAAATTAAATAAAATTAAACTATTCTCTTTTCTAAAAAAAAATAGTTTTAAATATAATAATAATAATAATAATGACATCAATCTCTTTGCAGTAATCCAATTCAAGAAATATCTTCTATCACAGCGCTATTTGTTCTATTAGCTGAGAGTTTTGACTATCAATTAACTAAGATGTATTAAATTTGAGTCTTATGTATGTGATCGATATGTATATGAATTTAATTTAGGATTTATTTGTGACTGTTTTCTAATAAATTTTGTATTAAAAAATTACTTTAAGAAACAATAAGAAAATAATTCCAAATCAAGACTTAATTGACCTAAATGTCCAACAAAAAATAAATATCTTCTATAAAAAAGACAAAGGCAGCACCAACTTTAATCCATGGAACACGCAAACTCCTTTGTCCTTTTCATACAAACCCTAATAATTATTTCTAAGATTTCTACGTAACTTCTTCCTTTTCTTTGCTACGAAGCTCCCATGCACTTTCCTCCCAATTAAACTCCTCATACCTTCTCCACCTTTCTCCCCTTCTTTAACTTACCTTTTCACTTCTATATATGCCCGTTACCTATCTCTTCTTATGTACAACTCATGAATTTATAATAAAAAAAACCTCCTCCTTCTTCTCCTTCTCCTCCTCCTCCTCTCTCTCTAAATGGTGGCTACAAATTACCCTAAGTGGTTTATGAAGCTAAGCTTGCATGGCTTTCGACGGCCCAAGAAGAAAGAGTTAGAGCATCCAAAAGGTAGCTTTCAAGAGGTTTTTAGTCGCCTAGACTCCGACGGTGATGGCCGCATATCGATTGAGGAGCTACTATCCTTTTTAGGATGGACTGGTGACCATGTGCTGCCAGACGAAGCGGCGACGGTGGTTTCTGATATCGATGTTGATGATGATGGCTTCATTGATTATTGTAGTTTTGTTCGGCTCGTGGATGGCGGTCGTAGACGAGGAGAAGGACGAGAAGGAGAACGAGATTATGAGGAGGATAATCGAAGGGCTTTTGAGATGTTTAAAGGGGAGGAAGGGGAGGGTTCTATCACCCCTAAAGGGTTGCAAAGGGTGTTGGGGAGGCTTGGGGATGAGAAGTCTGAAGAGGATTGTGCTGCCATGATTAGGGTTTATGATCTTGATGGTAATGGGGTGTTGGATTATCATGAGTTTCATAGGATGATGGGTTAAGGGTTCAGCATATAGGTTGTGTCATGGGGTTTCTGTTGTTTTGTTGATTCATAAAGTCTGTGATTTTAAGCTTATTGTGAAGAAGGTTGCATGTATATGGCGAAAAAATATTATATAAGAAGCTATTAAAAAAGAGAGAAATTTATTAGGAGTGGTAGTATATATATATATATAATTGCTTTGATCAAGAACGAATCTAGATGCATATTTAAATTCAAAACTTTCATAATTAAAATTGGCACCATCCAAACTTCAATCTCAGCAAACTTATAATCAAATTAAACGTCTTGGTAAGCCAAACAAACAACACCAAAATTGGTCCAACTCGAACCCAAATGAGTCCGAATTAACAGTCTAAAGCATATCTGAAAGCTTCAAGACTCTAATTGGACAATAAAATGATCTTCAAATATGGCATGCTTATAGTCGAACTTAGTGGCTTATCGAGATGAATCCAATGAGCCCATTTTGCTTAATTTTGGCATCATTAAGCATTTAAATGCTGAACAAATGTTTTATGATCAAGGGGATATATCAATATTGGTTGTTCGATGGATCACTTCAAAATTTCTCTCAATCTTCTCCGTATTTATGAGGCATGACACTTCAAAAGAAAAATCTATAATAGACCCCCACTATTTATATGAAGGGGTCTTTTGGGTGAGGCATGGACCTTGGGCTATAAATTCAAAACAGTTATACAGCTTGAAGAATCTTGGAGCTCCACTTGAGCACCATCGCTAGGGAACCCTCGCGCCATTGGACTTTCACCAGTTGATCATCGTCAAACATCCACCTTACCACCGCCGTTGGAGTTCTACCTGGCCACCGTTGTAGGATTATCTCCCAACAACATTTCTTTCAACCTTAGTCACCCGCCAACTAATGTCCTTGAATCACAGTAGCCTGCCAACCACGATTCCTCCAATCATTGTCGCCTAAGAATAGTACCTTCGATCACTATCGTCAAAATACGGCCCATTTGACCACCATCACACCCGACTACAATCCTTCAGACCATCATTGCCCGACTATTGTGTTTCAAACTTAGTGGCATGACTACTATCCTTTCGACCTCTATTAACCGCTGATTAGCTATGGTCCCTCTAACCACTATTGACCTAATACAGTCCCCAACCATAATTGCTTGACTACAATCTCCTAACCACAATCATCGAACTACGGTGATTTGACCTTAGTCGCTCGACTACGATTATTCTGACCTTCGTCGCCCATCAACTACAATCATTCCAACCTTCATTGTCTGCCGACTACGATCATTCTAACCTCCATTGCTCACAGAATATGATCTTTTAAGACCACATTCTCCTAACTAT